GCTCCCCTTGGCATCAGTTTCTCCACCTGTGAGCCAGCAGTTGCCCGTCACTCAGAGTCTGCTGAAGACCCAGTGAGCTCACCATAAGCAACAGATACAGGAAGCTTCTGTCCTCCTGCTGTGTGGGATGGGAAGTCTCTTTGCTGGAATGCAGGGGAAGGGGTTGAAAGAAAAACAAGCTCAGAGCAGTCCAGCCTGGCTCAGGTGCTGAAGACCCAGTGAGCTCACCATAAGCAACAGATACAGGAAGCTTCTGTCCTCCTGCTGCGTGGGATGGGAAGTCTCTTTGCTGGAATGCAGGGGAAGGGGTTGAAAGAAAAACAAGCTCAGAGCAGTCCAGCCTGGCTCAGGGTCTCCCTTTCCTCAGGGACACCCCCACACACTGGGATGGACCTTCGTAGACAGACATTTCTGACTGTCACACACACATTCCAGGACTGGCTTCATAAGACACACAACCAGTCACTGCCGGTGGCAACACATCCCCATGTGCACACAGCAGCTGTTCCTGAGGGTGCAGGGTCTCCCCAGCTGTCTGCTCTCACCAGAGCTGCAGCCCCTGGGCGGCAGTGCTCAGTGAGCACCTATCATCTCCATGAATAAACTCTGAAGCCAGTGGCTGTGTGGACCTGAATCATCAGAGAGCTGTCAGAGGAGGGGGAGTGACTTCCCAGGACAGGCAAGAAGGCTATTTAAGCTCCAGAGGGCTGGGCTCCACTCAGATTTCCTCCACCAGCTCCTGCCTGCCGGAAAGGTGACTTCAAGAGCCAGCTCTCAGAGAACAAGCACCATGTCCCAGGTAGGAGGGCCCAGTGTGGGCTGGGTTGGTGCCAAAGGAAGTGGGGGTAGAGACCTGGACACTGTTGTCCCTGACAGCTGGGTCTTAAGCTGAACTTCAAGCATAAACAGGAGGCTCTGCAGCCCCTAGGAGGCCGCTGCTCAGGGAAAACACCCTGAGTCCCACATTGCCATGATGAATTCCTGTTCAGCTTAGCTTTGGTGGCAGTCCATGGTTTGTTAGGGGGATTGGGGGAAATGTGTGTGGTGCTTGTATAGATCTCTGCGTGTGCCTTCATGTATTTGGGAGGGAGCTGCTTGTGTAGCTCTGTATGTGCGTGTGTGTACACACGGAGCTGTATCTCTGCGTGTGTGTGTACACATGAGGCTGTATCTGTGTGGGTGTGTGTGTGCACGCGTGTGCACGTGAAGCTGTGCGTATAGGTGCACAGCTCTATACCCGGGTATCTCCCCAGCAGGTGTATCTCTGTGCAGCAGTTGTAGTGTGTTGCCCTGAGGAGCCTAGCCCAGGCTGAGGGAGGGAATCCCCGCACCTGCCCCCAGGGCTTAGGAAGGAATAAGGCCTGGGACTCCCAGGCAAGGGTTGAGGATGTCTCTAGCACTGGAGGGACAGACAGACCAGCCTGCTAAGTTAGGGGGTAGAGGCTATCCTTGCTGCCTGCTCCATGAGTGGGTGCTGACTCTGAACTGTAACTTCGTGGGCATCTGGTCCCTCTACCCCATTCCCACCCCAAAAAACACAAATACTGGCCCTTTTTTGGGAGAGGGGCAACTTCTAAGGGACCCCCTGCTGCCCAGTATGCAGGTCTTAGAACTCACCAAATTCCTTAGGCTGCTTGGCCTCAAAGCCAGTCCCTTTTTGCCCATTGTGCCCAGTGCTGAGCTTGGCCAGGCAGACAGCCCAGTGTGAGGCTGCGGTGGCCACTGCCCCCAGAAGCTCCCAATCTGTGGGGGAAGGGTAGATGTACACATCAGACCTGGAGGGCTGGAAGACTCTCCAGGGATGGAGTGTAGTCAGGAGGGCTTCCTGAAAGAGGAATGGGGCCTTAAATTGGCTTGAGTTCAGCGAGCGGGGAGGAGGGTCTTGGCCAAGGCATGGAGGTAGGAAAGGGGTTTCCACCTCAAGGCCTCGGGTTGTAAGATGAGGTTCTGGGCTCTCCAAGGCTGGCCCTCAGGAAGCCCTTATCAAGAAGAAGCGCCCCCCTGTGAAGGAGGAGGACCTGAAGGGTGCCCGAGGGAACCTGGCCAAGAACCAGGAGATCAAGTCTAAGACCTACCAGGTCATGCGGGAGTGTGGTGAGTGTCCTCTGGGTTGGCTGGGGGGAGAGGGGGTGTCAAGGATCCAGGGTTCCTGTGCTCGGGAGGGGGTGCCCCGACCCAAGGGGCCTTCCCTCTGAGGAACCATTCCAGGCGCCTGACTGTGCCTCCTCCCCACAGAGCAAGCTGGCTTGGCCGCCCCGTCAGTGTTCAGCCGCACCCGCACGGGCACTGAGACTGTCTTTGAGAAGCCCAAAGCTGGACCTGCCAAGAGTGTCTTTGGCTGAAAAGCTCACGCCACTCCCCTCACCACCCTGGACACCTAGACACAGGAGCCTTTCCCGAGAACTCTTTTTTTATGCCAGAACCTGCCCTTCTCACCTGCTGTCTCTGGGACTGCCACCTTCCCCCACGGCCCTGGCCCTTTAGCCTGGGGGCTCTTCACCTGCACCTTGGAATTACCAATAAAGAGGATGCCCAAGTGGCCTAGCACTTGAAGGGTGTTGGTTGGTCACTGGCCATGGCCACTAACAGCAGGGGAGAGGGAGACAGGGTGGGGCATGGGAACACATTTTGTGCCCTTCCCAGGCTTTTGGGAGGGTCCCAGAGGATAATGCAGATGCTATTATGGCCACTGCCATATCTAGAAAGAGCCTTGGGACATGAAGACCTGGCGCTGACCTTCTGTATAATTTCAGATCAGTCTCTTCTTCTGAGCCTCAATTTCCCCTTCTGTATAGCAGGGAAGTTGAGCTGGAGCACGTTCCACAAAGCAGGCCACAGTGACACTGCTCAAAGTGAAGCAGGTGGGGGCTTGGGTCTTGCCCCTCCCCCTGCCTTCCACAAAAGCCACTGAGATGCTTCCAAGGACCCCGGGCTGCACGGGACCTAGGACCTCAAAGCCCCCTCTGCTGCACCCTTGTTCATACTGCCCGCTTGCCAGCTTGCATCCCCCTCAAAGACAAGGCCACGTTGAAGTTCCTCTCTGGCCAGTGGCAGTCAGTCTCCTCTTCTGAACGGCAGGGTGATCCTCCCTCTTTCCACTTCTACCGTGCTGCCTGGGGCATGGGAGAACACCAGTTCTAGGCCCATGTGTGATTCTTCTTCCCTCTTCAGGCCTGTGTCCCCGGAGTGCATGAAACTGTCAGATTCAGGAGACTATATAGATCTGTCCAGCTGTGGTGGCAAGATCATGGACGGGCTGCTAGTGGCTCCGTCCAGAGCTGGACTGGCAGGGCCTGGGCTTGCAGTGCCTGGCTCAGGGCTGACTCCTGCTTGGAAGCCCCTCCTGTCCCCTGGGCAGGTGGAACTGACTACTCGGAAACTTTCCCACGTCTCTGGCCAGCCTAGACTCCTTATATAGCTCTGGTTCCAGGCTGGGCCCGTGCTCTGCGCCCCAAGGGAACAGAATTTCTGCATTCCAGTTTGAGAGTTCCCTCAGGGCTGGTGTCACTGAGCCATCCTCCTTCCCTGGCCCAGGACTTGGCCCTGGCCACATTTTTATGACGGGTCTTTTTCCCTGTCTGTGACCATAGACTCAGGAGCTGATTGTCTCAGAACCACTAGGGAACACAGCACCAGCTGCCTCCAGAGTGCCTAATATTTATTCACTTTATTGCTATTTGTTATAAAAGCAACACTTCAACTTTATTAAAGGCCAACTAAGAAAAGTTACGAGGAACCCCACCCCGGGCCCTTGGGCAGCACCCCAACAGGCCTGAGTTGCCACAGCATCACACCGCTGTGACAATGGCATTCTGCCCTCTATCACTCAAGTGATCATGGGCACGACTGACCTCCACACAGGGCCACCTGCTTGTACACACCACCACACCCGGTCACCCCTTCAGGAACTCTTTGCGCAGTTAGCTCTCTCGTCTGCTCCATGCTCTCCTGTCCACAAACTCCCAGCATCAGGACTTCTGGGCCACAAGATGTAGCATCTTATGGCTCTTTTTGTACTGTTAAATTGAGGCAGGGCAGAGTAGGGACACGGCCCAGAGAGGCTGCTCAGAAATACTCGGACTGGACCGGCCAGAGCCCATGCACTAGGCAGGACAGGAGGGGCAGAGGTGAGCCATTAGGAGTTCGCACCTGGGATGGTGAACGAGAAGGTAGGCGGTGCATTCCTCTCTCTTTGGCGGAGATGCCTGCGCCCTTCTTTGGCGTGTACCTTCATTTGGTAATAAAGCCCCATTATGTCGCGTTTCTCTGTCCCTCTCTTCCTTTCCTTTTGCCAGTGCCATGAAAGATTCTTCTTTCATGGACTAAGAACTTGGATCTGTGCCCAGTAACAAAATTGCAGGTTTTGTTTTGGGGCCTTGCTCTGGTTGGACCAAAAGCCCTAGCTAGATTAATGGGGCCTAAATGGCAGCCTGGTACCCTGGAGGGAGAAGGGTGGCCGGTGGGCCCAGCACCCCTCACTCCAGAAATAGACATATCTGCCCTGCTTTGCCCCACTCAGACACCTCCAAGGGCCTCTCGATGCCTTCAGAGCCCCCCACTGCCCAGCCACACACACCTGGCTGCTACTGCCGCTTCCTCCAGGAAGCTGCCTGGAACAGCCCTCGAGTCCTAGTCTTCCCGACCTTCTCTCTGTTTCCCCCCAGCTGGACTTCAGGAGAGCAGACTGTGCTTTCTTCACTGTTGTGTCCTCCTAGCCCTATGGAGCATTTTGGTAAAATGACTGGTGTGAGAGGTCCTTGTGCCTTGGAAGGTTCTGGACCTTTCAGAAGGGGAGCCATAACCTCAGTATATGTTTCTGCGCCAGCCAAGGTTCATGGGGTGTTCACTTGCCTGCTTATCTAAGGCCACTGTGGTTTTTGGCTTGTAGATCTCAATTTATCAGAACCTGCCCCCGCAGGGGTGGGGCAGCCAGCAAGTTACTAATTCATTCCCACATGCTCTCAAGTTCAGAAGCCAGCCTGGCAGCCACTGGAGCCAAAATGAAGATCCCGGCCTCTGTCCACATCTGCGGCACCATGCTGGCCCTGCTCTCACTGCTGGCTGTCCTCCAGACTGCCACAGCCCGCAAGGTAGCAGTATCCACGGTGCCTGTATCTGCCCCTGATGCTAGTGGTGTGAGTTGGGGAATGAGAGAACGTGTCTGTGAAGTGGCGGGGAGCCTCTGTGTGTGCAAGTGTTTAAGTAACATAAGTGCCGGTCAGTGTGGTTTGCAAAGAAGTGGTGCTGACTATTCACCAGGCACCACCCCGAGGGCCTTGCAGATCAGGGGTGATCCTATTGTCTTCATTTTACAGATGAGGAAATGCAGCTTGGCAAGTTACCACTCGAGGCCAGCAGTGGGGCAGAGTAGGTTAGAATGCAGCTTTAAAAGCCTGGCTCTACTGACCCTGGCTGAGTGACTTCAGGGAAGTTATTTATGCTTTCTATGTCTTGGTTTCCTCATCTGTAAAATAGGGTAATAATAGAACCTATTGAGAGGGTGGTTGTGAAAATCGAACCCATAATACATATAAAGTGCTTAGTACAGTGCCTGGCCAGAGAAAACAGTCCAATGTGCCCACATGCACCTCTATGCTGATCTGTGCATGTGCAGAGAGCCATGTGCAGCTAAACAGGGCTGTGCATGTGCGAGCATGGCATACTCAGGCAGGTAACGTGTGTAAGGCTCTGCGTGTGAACACGTATGTCCTTCAAGGAATGGGAGAGTGCCCTGCGGAGGTGAGTGGGGATTTGGGGAAGATTCACTGCAGGGAAAAGAAAGGGCAAAGACAAAGATTCTCAGCTCTTAGAGACCAGACCTTGGTCTACCTCCAAATTCTCCCAGCTGCTGTGACCCCTGGTAGGAAACTGGCAACAGCTATTCTCCCCAGTCTCTATGGAGGCCAAAGTCACCAGAAATCAAAGGACTTGTTCACTGCCCTTCACTGGGCATCATGACACTGCCAGGGCCCTTGCCTCTGCCCAGAGAATTATGGTTCTGCTCCCAGACTCTGGGGCTCAGGCTCCACCAGAAATCAAAGGACTTGTTCACTGCCCTTCACTGGGCATCATGACACTGCCAGGGCCCTCGCCTCTGCCCAGAGAATTATGGTTCTGCTCCCAGACTCTGGGGCTCAGGCTCTATCACCCACAGCCTGCTTGTTCTCTGCAAGGCACGAGGGGCCTCCATAGTGGGCCCTGCCCTGTGGTGCGGTAGGGTGGAGAGTGAAACACATCACCACCTCATATGTGAGAAGAACGTTCACATGTGAAATGCCTCACTGGGCTCAGCCTGAGGCTTGGTCAGTGGCTCAGCTGGGTTGGGGGCCAGGGTTTGATCTGGTGGGGCCATGGTCAGGGTCCCAAGTTGAAGAGTGTTGCCCCTGGGGTGGCATTGAAACTATCTGATTCCTTCCTCTTTCGGTGGTCCAGAATGACATCGACATCTACAGCCTCACCGTGGACTCCAAGGTCTCATCCCGATTTGCCCACACGGTCGTCACCAGCCGGGTGGTGAACAGGGCCGATACTGTGCAGGAGGCCACCTTCCAGATGGAGCTGCCCAAGAAAGCTTTCATCACCAACTTCTCCATGTAGGTGTCCTCCTACCCTCCTCCTCCTCCTCCCCCCAACCCAGTGCTGTGATTCCATCTGTTCTGCGCCCAGCAGACCCTCCTCCTGCAGGGAGGCATGCTGGGATGTTTGGCTTCAGGAGCGTGCACTGTACATCTTGTAGGCCAGACAGGGAGTGAAGCTTTACAAAGGAACTTACGCATTCTCAGAGATGTCTCCGTCCCTCCTTCCATCCATCCCTCTGTTCATCCATTCGTCCCTTTGTCATCTCTAAGTGCTGCCTAGGTGGCAGGCAGAGAACCACAGCATCTGTGTCTCTGCTTTGAGGAGCACAAACTTGGGCATCCTGAGGCCAGACCCAGGCAGGAGGGAGCC